TATCAGAAAACCTGACATATGATATAATTTATTATACCAGTGTTGGAAATAGCAGCTGGTCCCATATTTTTATATTATTCACGATTTAATTCACGATTAAGATTTCTTGATGAGCTAGAAAACACTCGGATTTGAAGTATGAAACTGAACATTATTGTGCTAGCTAGCCTATACCAGTTGGTTGCATGGGATTGATTGTCAGTTCAGATGCAAAATATTAAAAGCAAAAGGTTATACACCATAGATTAATTGGGTACCACGCGTATATAAGATAGCCGAGTCGGTTTAGAGTTAGTGTAAGGGTTAGAGATAGGGTTTTTTGGTTGTCCACCGGACAATGTCTCAGACTGGTTAGGTTGTCCGGCGCAAATTCTGGTTGTCTCGGACAACCGGACAACGCTTATTTCGAGCACTGCATTTAGTTGAAGGGGAATATTCCACCTTCCTTCCCCCTTCTAACCTGTGATGCTTGAGCACCTCGATTTGATACCAGATTCGACATTCCAATGTTTTTTTGGATCACCCCCACGTCCTGCATATCAACACCGTACGTCAATCCATTTAATTTGTGCCAACATTGTTGATGGATGGACAGACACACAGATGGATGCTCATGCTACTCTACAAGCTGCACATATGACTCTATCAGATGAGCAAAAAATAATAATAATACCGTATTCCCTCGAATAATAGCCCCTGCTTGAATAAAGGCATGTGTGATTAAGGGCAGGGGGGGGGGTAAAGATACTTTAAATCAATAAACGCCGGGGGCTGAATAGTCGCCGGAGGGGGGGGGGGTAATGATGTAGTATATATGTGTGATAGGTAAAAAAATTGCTCGGGAATACGTTCATTCAAAGCTTTTAGACTACAAAGTGAAACGTTCGGGTCGAATGTTTCCCAGCATTCACTTTTGCCACTATGCGGCGATTGTTCCGCTCGGCGCACTGGCCGTGTTATGAACCATGCTATGTAAAATTATACACACTGGCATGTTATGACCCAATGTATTTTCTGGTCACGTACATGGCTAGCTGATAGGGAAAGGGCAACGTTTTTGTTGCCGAGAGATTATAGTATTCTGAGCGAGTTAACATGTGAGTGAGTCGAGTGTCCTGTCAGGTCGCTGTTAGTTCGGATTACGTTTTGTTGGGTTTTTAGCACGGTCTATCTCGAAAACAGTTACGGTAAAAATTCTGAAATTAATAACATAAACAGTCGAGGTGCCTCTCTGTCTAGACTACAAAGTTTGATTTCATAAAATGATTTATATTAAAAGTTATGACATCTGAAAGTGGCTACACTTACTCGATTGAAATGATGGTTGCTCAAATATAAACAATATGGCGCCTACGGAACCGCGGCGAAAAGCGTTTTTCGAGTTGGTTCTTCGATGAGCAAATATAGGCTTGACAAATATTTTTACGGTTTTATTTTCAAAGCTAACGTTCAGTTAAAGTGTAGTGAGTTATTTACTTACGTTTTTACAGTGGTTTGTTACAAAAATTTTCGTGGAAAATTCGAGAGAAACTACTTTTAAGAACCACTCGGAAAAAAAACACCTACAGTACTATACCTATATCTATCTATCAGTATCAGTATCAGTATCAATACTAATATCACCCTTTGTTGATGTGCTACCAAGTAGTATAAGTGCATAAATAAGGTACGCAAAGAGCAACATAGATTTTAGGGTCGTAGCAGAGTGAATATAACTGATATGACGTGAAATACGCGAGAGTTGCAATGGCGACAAACAGTCAAAAACAGGTGAGTAGCGTCAGTTACAGTGTTTGTCCCACCTTTCTTACAACAAAGAACATATTTGTGGGTGAAAATGAATAGGAAACTCCCAGAAGAAGACCTCTGTCGACTTTAAAGGGCCTACCCACACATTTACGGAAATTAATTGTGGGTCAACAATATCTACAGTACAGGACATGGAACGTATAGACCATTCTTAATTATTATTCATGACCTGGGGTCACGCACGAAAACGAGGCTAAGCTAGGCAATTTTGTAAACAATGGCTGCTCAGGCAGGCACGCACAGAGGGGGTACACGCACGTACACGCGGGTACATGCACGTACACTCAGATACACGCACGTATATGCGGGTACACGCACGTACACGCGGGTACACGCAGATACACGCACGTACACGCAGATACACGCACGTACACGCGGGTACACGGAGATACACACACGTACACGCGGGTACACGCACGTACACGCGGGTACATGCACGTACGTGCGGATACACGCACGTACACGCTGATACACGCACGTAAACGTACACGCAGATACACGCACGTAAACGTACACGCAGAGATACACGCCAGTGAAAAAATTAATTTTTTTCTTTCCGGGGCTCTTTTTGCAAACCCCCCCAAAATTTCGGGGGCTACTTTTTCATTTTCCAGGGCTCTTTTTCCACTTTCCAAGGCGACTTTTTTCCAGGGCTGTTTCCTCAAATGTACACACAAGCACAGTAGCTAATACACACTCACGGGGGCGCGCACCGGACACATACATTCGCGCTAGATCGTGCCGAATCGTTTCCTCGTATACACCCGCATCCAGATACGACGAAAAACGTACGACACATTCTTCCATTTTTGGCATCATCCAAAGGGCCATGCGCACCTCTAATTCAACAAAGACAGCGTACCTATAACGCGCTATTGCTAACTCGGCAGCATGTGCTCGCTGGGAGATTACATGCAAACACTCGCCTCGAGGTAACCTTTTAATCCGTGTCACAGCTACCAGGCCACCTCTAGCACATACTGGCATGCCTTCACGCACCGGCACGCAGACGCAATCAGCAGTCAGCTGATCGGGCTCAAATTCCAGCAGCCGAAGCAGGATTGCCCGCCGAGTTGTCACAGCTGTTGTAGGTAGCTGCCCTTGTTTGAATTAGAGGCAGCGCAATGGTTTTGATTGATGAGCAAGAATGGAGATCGTGTCGTACGTTTAGTCATGTGATCTCGATTTGCGTGTAATACCGAGGA